GTAAACCTAAAAATTTACAGCCAATTTTGAAAGAGATGCATCTTAGCTCTGGACATTGTTATTGAATATGTCAAAGCTGTTGTAATGAAATGCTTCTTCTAAGTATGTGGTTATTAAATAAATAAAAATTTTTAATGCCTCACAGACATGACTACAGGTCTGTCTGATCTGGGGAGGTTCCCAGCTGACTCTAATTTGTGTCAACTTGACAAAAACTAACCAGCACAAAGGGGGAAAGAGGAAAATGAGAACTGTTGCCGCAGGCACCCAGGCAGCAGTAGCCCAAGAAAGCGACCAGTCAACATCCAGTGTGGCCATGCTGATATTTGATGATGTGATGAGAACGCAATTACCTATCTTTCAAATCCTATAAACCTGTCTGACCAAGAAATAAACATCAAATCCCAGTTGAGATCTGTTGTACAAAATACCCAACTATCACACCCTAAAACTCAAAAGTAATGAAAAACAATGAAAATCTTAACTATGGTAGCCAAGGGAATGTGATATATAAATGTAACAGGACATTTGGGATGGGCTCTTAGAACAGAAAAAGTACATGACTGAAAACAAATCTGAATAAAGTGTGGGCTTTAGTTAATAGGGTCAGTATTGGTTTACCATGACAGTATGATGTAATGGGTGTGGGGCATAGAGAAGTGCTTGGGGTTGCTAGCCCTCAGCATTAGTTTACTCCTTTTTACAAGGTAACTATAGGAACTGGGAACAAACTTCTCAATAAAAAGTACTGGTTTATGGGCTGGGCATGGTGGCGCACACCTTTAATCCCAGCACTTGGGAGGCAGAGGCATGTGGATCTCTGAGAGTTCAAAGCCAGCCTAGTCTACATAGTGAGTTCCAGGACAGCTGGGCCTACAGGGAGACCCTGTCTCTCCCTGTCTAAAAAAAAAAAAAAAAAAAAAAAAAAAAAAGTACTGCTTTGTGTGTTAGATCTAGTTCAGGATTTATGTTTGTGACACTAAGAATGACAAGTGGGAGGCTGGGCCCTGCTGAGCGTCAGGGTGCACACTTACAAATTGACTTTCAATTTTTCACTTTCATATTTTTTTGATGGAAGACATGCCAGTTAATCGTCTCGCTTGGAATAGTTTCATAATAAAAGGAACCTTCCAGTGAATTCTAGAGCATAGTATTTCTGAATTTAGTTGCTATATCACCTAGTTTCATTAATTCTGAAAATCCCACAAGCTGAGATTCAGAAACTACTGATCCTAACCAACCTCACTTTACGATAAGAAACCAAGAAGGAAACCTCACATTCACTCACTCCAATGGCAATATTCAAATCAACAGAAATATAAGTTGATGCTGAGACGCCTGGTACCAAAATTGCCCTTTATTGTATATTATTTATTCTTATGTCACTTCCTTGAAATGCTTAGGATACAGTTGGCAAATAAAACTAATAATCTTAGTACAGGAAATATATTCAATAAATTAAATACTGAAGACATGGAGGGATCCAAGGCAGCAAGACAAGCTATAACCAGGTCTGAAAACACCCTGGGAGCTACTGTTTCAAATCATACTTGCAAATTCCAGTGAACATTTAATAAACACATCAGCCAAGATAGACCAGCTGAAGATTTGACATTTTTTGAGCAAATGCCGACTAAATTTGTACTGTATAAAGTGCAAATTTTAATAACTACTACAGAAGAGAACCTCTGAAAAGATTCTATACAAATAATGGTCCCAAAATTTAAATTAATGTTAAAGACACAGGTTATAGCATTTGACTGCTAGTGTTTCTAAATCCGTATGAGCAACATACTCTAATTTTTTTTAAACTTTACAGAAAATCCAGTACAATATCAAGTGCTTATGATATATGAAATAGTAACCTATGTCAAAGATTTATTCAAATATTAACTATGTATAGTGGTTCTAAAATAAGTCATTTCTGAGTCTAGTAACTGCAGGTCATGGTAACTATAAATGCATCTGAGTAAACAGTCACACAGCTACACCTCATGCTGAGACCATCACAAACACCAAGCACCATCACTGTACATCTAGTTCCAACGCTTCAACAACCTGTGCAGCAGAAGGGCGATCTTTGGGCTCTTCATTAGTGCACACAGAGAAGAGTTCAATGACTTTCTGGTATGTTTCATCCAGTTCTTCCATATTAATAGATGGCCTGGTCCCCAGAGCTGCATAATATGCTTCATCATCAAAGTCACTCTCATCAAAAGTTGAGTCTGCTCATGAGGGAGAGATAGAGACAAGCAAAACCCCGTAAAGTTATAGAAGAGCTTCATAGCTTATCCTACAACAAGAATGTATCATCTAGTTCCACTGTCCCGCCTTGGAGTAGATTAGCTGTTTTCTCTCAGGCAAGAAGTTTTTACAGAAACCTTTTGTTCCTCTAGATCTTTTCAACTCATCTTCCTATTTGCTTTCATTCTCATGTGCAAAGAGTTATTAAGGAAAAGTGAAAATGAGCTCCTGAGAGTGTAGCGGTTCCAGGGAGGAATACATTCATCCCCTACTCTACTGATACCTTCATCCCCTACTAATACCTTCATCCCCTACTAATACCTTCATCCCCTACTCTCTACTGATACCTCATTTGTATGAGCTTAAATCTAGCCAAATCAGTCAGTTAACTTAATAGAAAGATGCAATTATATAAACTAATCTACTGGGAAGAGATTGGGATTTATATTAAAATTTTTTGTATTTATACCTTCATCAGCATTATCATCTATAAGATTGATGTGTGGAATACATAAAGTCATCATTTCCCACAGAGTAAGGCCAAAGGCAAATATATCTGCCTTGTCAGTAATGATGCCATTTTCCTCCAAAGCTTCCTTGGGTTTCCATGGCTCAGTACCAATATAACAGGCCTCAGGATCAGTCACTGAAACACAGCACAATACAAGTAAATAGCCTGGGCAGGCAACCCAAGAAAAAACCAACGCCTGGAACAGGGAGTTCACTGTAGCTGCTAAGTGTGCAATGAAAACATATTCAACTTCACTAATAAGGATGACAACCCTTGTCAGACTGGCAAATATTTAAAACTCTGACCAGTTCACAGGGATGTAGGGAAACAACAATTATCTTAGAAGATAAAAAATATAAAAAATGTAAGTGGATGTCACAGACTTGACTGGCTTCAAAGATGTGCAAGCTGAGTGACCCAGAACAGAGCACTTCTTTTTGGTGGTGGGGGTGGGGGATTCTTTTTCAGACAGGGTCTCCCTGTAGCCCCAGATGGCCTGGAACTCCCTGTGTAACCCAGGGTGGCCTCAGTCAGAGATCCGCCTGCCTCTGACTGGGACTAAAGGTGTGCGCCACCGTGCCTGGCCCAGAACAGAGCACTTAGTGTTTGGACCTTGGATTTCCATCTGGGAACTGTGCTGTCATCCAGCCTGAGAATCTCATCTCAAGGTTTCAAGACTGCTAAATCAAGAGAACCAGAAGGGGTCAAAGGTCAGATCCACACTGGCCCTTAAAGTACCTGTCCAGGAATGGCCTGGGCCATTACATTCCAGGATATTTTAGAGTCATTTTGTCCATTTCAATGACAACAAAAACAAAAACCAACAGCAAGAACTCCTTTGGGAAAGGACTGAATCTGAGATCCATCTGCAAAGAATTAACATCTTCCTAACAATGAGTCTCAATCTTAACCCTTGTTTTTCTCCATGTTGGTTCCACCTCAGTAATGCTTTATGGCTTCTAGTATAGAGCCCTTAGACTTAGCAGGTGCCTTTTTCTTCTTAGATTTATTTTTAAATATCTTGATTTTGCCGGTTACAAATGCAATTTTTAGAAACTTCATTTTCCTATTATTTACTGCTAACACAGAAATACAGTAGTTAACTTCATTTATTCTAGCATTGTTTTATAGACTGCTTGGATATTTGGTAGAAATAAACTAACTGTATAAAATTCTTTATGTGGGGCTGGAGATATGATAGCTCAGAAACTCTAGCCTACTTGGGAACTACTGGCAGCCTATGGCTGCTGGAAGGGGGAAAGTCAGTCTTGGTTAAGGGTGATATTCTTGGCAGGTAGAGCAGGCTCCAGTGGACAGACCCACATGGAAATGCACAAATATTTTTAAGGACTCCATTTCAAAGTACAGGTTTCTGGGTCAGCAAGATGGTTCAGTGGGTAAAGCCACCTACCACCAAACCTGATGACTGAGTTCAACCGCTGGGCACCACATGGGGTAAAGTGAGAACCAACTCATGCAAGTTGTTCTGACTTCCACAAGCACTCTGAGGTGTGCGCATGCCCACAAATACACCACAAAATAAATAAAATGGTAGCTAGAGAGAAGACTCAGCAGTGCTCTTTTAGAGGACTTGAAATCTGTTCCAAGCACCTGTGTTAGGCACCTTACAACCACCTGAAGCCACCTGAAACTCTAGCTCCAGGGACTCTAATACCCTCTTTTGACCTCCACCCAGAAACACATGATATATATATATATATACAGACAAACACACACATAAAAAATAAATCTTTAAAAATAAATGTAGTTAATTTTTCAAAATAAAGCACAGGTTTCTAAACTGGCCTCTAAAATGTTGCCTTTGTGGTAGTAACCAGGGCTGTTCATCTGATAAGTCATCACACACAGCATCTTTTAGACAGGGATTGTATTTTCAGGTCTGTTGTGACTGGGCATAGCCATGTGAGTAGCTCTACTGAGTTCTGAATGGAAGTGAACATCTGTCATTTCTCAACTGGAGCATTTGTTTGGGGAAGACTTTCTAGAACAGCACTGTCCAAAAGAACTTTCTGAAATAAGGAATATCCAGGAGTTAGTCCTGAGTTAACAGGTCACACTGAGCACCTAAATGGGACAGGTGGCTCTAGGGAAATGGTTTGACTTTTTGAAGCTCTAGTTCCACTCTAGTTACTTCTACTAGTTTCCAAAATTTTATCACTTTACTAAAACTGAAAAAATCAATTCTCAGATATTTTACAACTTAAACATCTCAATCCAGATTAGATATCTTTCCCAAAGCTATCTTCAGTTAAAATACCAAAGGGCCAGTGTGGTGGCACATGACTGTGACCACAGCACTGGGGAGCTGTGGGAACACTGTGATCTCAAGCCAGCCTGAGCTGACCTTGTCCAAAAAGATAAAAATAAAACAAACAATACACAGACATATTAATAAGGAGCAATAATTCACACTGTACACGTGGCAAGGGAAGGTACTGGGGGCTCAGTGAAAAGAAAGTAAATGATGCTCTGTATTATATACTTGAAAAATTAATTTTAAAGCCATGTATATTTATTAAGTTTTAGAATGCAAAAATTGAAAGTTTAAAAATTGTATGAAATTCAAAATTTGAAACAACCCTACGCACCAGTCATGTTTTCATCCAGTGACAGGGAGACTCCTACATCACAGATTTTAATTGTCTCAAAATCACCTTTAATAACAACATTTGAAGACTTTATGTCTCCATGAAGCAGCTTCTTTTCTTGATGCAGATACTAAAATTATTAAAAAAAATTATATATGAGCAGAAATATAAACTAAGAAATATATAAGTAAAAGAATGATTGAACTTTTGTTCATTAAAACTATTCAAGTAGCTATATGGAGCTACAGACTTGTCTATCATTTCAAATTATTTGAAGTCAAGAAGAGAACATACCATGTCATCTAAAAGACTTTTTAAAAGATATTTTGAATTATCAAACACATCCCATACATTTTTATATCAGAAGATGCTACTGCAGATTTTGAAAACACTGCAATTTCACTTGAGGCCAACAGCTTTAGAAATTAATTTTGGAATCTTCATGTGCTGGATAGCTCTAGTTGTCAACCTGACACACCAGGGTTGAAGGAGCCTCAGTTGGGGAATTGCCTCCATTGGTCTGGCCTATGGCCATGTCTATGGGGCATATTCTTGATTGTTGAGTGATATGGGAGAACCCAGGCCACTATGGGTGGTACCACCGTTGGGCAGGTGGGCCTGTATTATAGAAGAAAGCAGGTTGAGCACTGACCAAGAAGCAAGCCAGTAAGCAGTGTTCCTCTATGGCCTGTGCTCCAGCTCCTGCCTCCAGGTTCCTGCCCTGAGTTCCTACCTTGGGTTCCCTCAGTGATGAACTATAACCTGGGAGATATAAGCCAAATAAACCCTTTCTTCCCCAAGTTGGTATTGGTCAGAGTGGTTTGTCACAGCAATTGAAGGCAAACTAGAACACTTCACAATGAGGCAAACTTACCTCAAATTGTGAAATAATGCAAGATTAACAGGTGGTGTGGGGCACTATAATTCACGAGCAGAAACAGAAGCAGAAACACAACCTAAAGCTCTATTTTGTCTCACACATTAGCCCTTTCTAGGTTTCAAATAATGACAGGCACATTTTGAACTGTCTGTTCATTTGTCAGCGTCTGAGCATCTCTAGCTGGGGAATACAGACCATTCTTCTTTCTTGCTATGGTCTGCTCTTTGCACATGAGCTCACTACTTTATTTCACTTTATTTTTTAGGCAGGGTTTTCCCTGTAGTCTCAGCTGGCCTAGAACTCACTATGCAGGTCCAGGTTGGCCAATCTCTGCCTTCGGAGTGCTGGGATTAGAGGAGTGCACCACCATGCCAGGCCTATAGTTATTTTAATTGCCACCTGTCACATTTATATGTAAAACCCTTAGTTGCTAAATAATTCATATGTTTCTATATATCTTATCCACTTAAAATTACCTTGTCTATAAATGTACTAAAATTTATTTACTATTTCATTTTCAATCTTATTTCATAAATCACTTCATATGAAATCTTAAAGCATCACTCTGACATCACTATCATTATTCCCCAGTACTTTTCTAGAGTCAGTTAATACTGTAACCCTTAGTTGCTAAATAATTCATATGTTTCTATATATCTTATCCACTTAAAATTACCTTGTCTATAAATGTACTAAAATTTATTTACTATTTCATTTTCAATCTTATTTCATAAATCACTTCATATGAAATCTTAAAGCATCACTCTGACATCACTATCATTATTCCCCAGTACTTTTCTAGAGTCAGTTAATACTGTTTCCCTAGTATA